GTGCTCCACGGGTGAAGGCGACACTACTGCTGCCGCCTCTTGCTCTCCTTTCTCTGTTCTATTGCAGTGCCTAGTGGAAAAAGGAGAAATTAGAACTCAGATGCATGTAAAGAAAGGACTTCTTGTGGCGAAATGCACAGCCAAATGTAAAAGAAACTTCTAAGTTCAGCTATATGTTGTGCCATGAGCCATTGTCCTGTTTCCTTCTCTCCCTAAGACCCAGGGAGGTGAAATAATGAAGGGGTTTGATTCCTTCTCACAGGGAAGGAAGACAAACAGGGCAGAGGAAAGTGTGTAACAACCACTGTGGGAAAGGAACCAATTTTCCAATAGTGGTTGTAGACAATAGGATGCAAAGGGGTTTTATTGAATCTAGCGAAGTTTGGGCTAAGGGGTAAACATCTGTAGACAGGAACCTGACAACATGGCATTATCTTAATCTAAGTAATTTGCCTTCCACGCTGGCACTAATGCCTCCATGTTAAGCAATCACAGAAAACAGTAGCCTGTTGCATCCAGATTTGTATTTACAATTCAGCTAAAATATAGTTCATTATTTTGTACAGCATCTTCCTACTTGAAGTAACTTAAAACACAGTGTGCTCCGAAGCCTACGTGTACTTCACACAAGCAAACTGGTATTCTCTTTGTTATGTTACTCTGCAATCTCAAAACTCCCGCACCCGACAGACACAGCGTACACGGGGCAGACGTGGGAGCCAGAGGCCCGAGATCGCACAGCTGAGGAGGAGCGAGCACCAGCACGGTCCATTTACAGACTGGTGATCTCAGCCGTACACTTCTCCCCCTGTCCCAGTGTTTGTAAGCTGAGAGAGTTTTACAGAAGATGAGAGGCAATACACAGCTCTTCGGAAACCGTCTTTTCTCTGGGCTGTTTGCAATCTTATTTCACAATGGAAAAAAGTAAGATTCCTCTTCATTACAAACTGCCCATCCACATCAACAGGAGTTGGTGGCAGCTTTTAGAAGACTAACGGCGAGTTATGCCGTAAGGGACGGAGCCAGACTGCAGCGGACGGCTCATCTACAGAAACCACAGTCCTGCCACGTGGAGCAACCCGGCCCCAGAAGAGCCTCTTCTGCTTTGGGGATCAGCTATGGAGAGATCATCATCTTTAACGACACATTTGGTTCCTTGGCAGGAGAGGTCTGGTATTTACCATGCATAACGTATTTTTACATTCCAAACGTATTCCAAAAGTATTACCTCTGTTTTTTAAGTGTGGTGTGTGTGGAAGGGAAGGTTAAGTGACCTCCTCATGATTCTTTCACGTACCAAGAATGAGGAGCAGAATCAAAAGCCTGGTTCTTTGCCCCAAATAAGCTGGATAAGACAATACTTGCCCTCAGCTGACAAAGTCAAAGCTGAGCGCGCCGTGAACCTCACGGCCGTTAAATACGGTTATGGCTTTTGATCTTTACCATAACGCCCTGGGCCAACCACCCTTTTGCTTGCAAATACAGCATGGAGTTCTGGTAACGCGGTAGGTAGGTTTTAAAAAAAGGAACAGTTGGCACATCTGGTAAGCTGAGCAGACAAAGTACAAGTGGAAGGAGAGTAAATCATTAGCTAAATAGACAGGCCTTGAACCAGATCGCTGCTGCAGATGCTAACTTAGTAATTCCCTCTTGCTCCGAAACGAACTTTGTTCCTGTAATGACTGACAGCTGATGCAACGATAAGAGAATGAAGTCTATAAAACTCTAGCTGAAGCTTGGGAAGTTCTATTTGGAGCTCTTCCTACCTCCTCCGCCCAAGGCTGGTCCTGCGGTGGAAGTGACAGCTCACGCTGTGAAGATGCACTGTCGGAAAGTGATGGCAGTCTTGTTGCTCTGCTCACTGCTGCTCAGCCAGGTAAAGAGAGGACTACTGAAAGCGCTAAAACAAACGGTCAGGCAGTAAATCAACAGCGTTAGGATTTGCATGAATAACTGGCAGGAGTTAGAGGTGACAGCAGAGCTCTTTTAGAGGATTCAACTTCATAAAAAAGTAGAGTCTAGAGAATACTGGATTACTCTGAGATGTAACTCGGCAAGTAATTCTGCCTTCTCTCCCAAGATTAAAAAACATAGTTAATTTTTGTGCTTCTCACTTCATTGGGATTAGGATACGAGCAATTATGCTTTAACAGAGCACGCTAGGATCTGAAAACGTGAAAGATTTCAAGTTTCTCGCTTAAGACTATTGAGCTCGGCACCAGAGGGCCCAGTGCCGACCGTGCTGGACGTTGTGACAGTCGCACACCAACTCTGTTTCAGGCGCTCTGTGCTTCCCTGCACCCCCACCAGCCGCGGCTGACGCGACAGAGGCGGATGACGCCTTTCTGGAGAGGAGTCTCACTGCGACCCGTCGGAGCCTCGTGCAGGGATAACAGCGAATGCATTACGATGCTGTGCAGGTAACGAATCCTCATCAATGTTAAGGCTCAGGCAGACCCCAGATTATATTATGTAGAGGAAGTTCCCACTTATTCTCACCCAAATGAGATATGGAATTAACTCTGTGCATAGGAGAAGGTACCAGGAATAGGGATG